GGGGCTCGAACCCACGAACCGCGAGATCATGACCTAAGCGAAAGTCGGACGCTTAACCGACTAAGCCACCCAGGCGCCCCGGGACAGAAGCTCTTCTAATGACTCTGGAGAGAACATGAAAAGTAAAGATATTTATAATAATCTTTGATATATCTTGAGATATGTAATGGATGTACAACGCTCCATTAACTCTCAAGGTATGAATATAGTTCTAGCACTCTCCTAATCAAATTGAAATTGGTTTAAGCACCCAGATGTCATTTAGGTAGGAAATACAGAATCCCTCTATTGGGCTATTCCCACTGACGCTAAATTGATTTTTCTCAGTGAAATATGCATACCTTCTGTATCAAATCATCTGGAGGTGTTGTTAAAGACTCTCACAATATCCATAATCGGAATCTCTCGGGCACCTGGGTGGCTGAGTCGGTTAAGCATTTGACTCTTGGTTTAGGCCCAGGTCATGATCTCACAGTTCATGAGTTTGAGCCCCACATGGAGCTGTCAGTGCAGAGCCTGCTTGGGATTCTCTCTTCCCCCTTCCCCCACCCCTCCTCTGCTCCCTCTCTCTGTCTCTCTCCAAATAAATAAATAAACTTAACATTAACAAAAAAATCTCTGGCAATGAGATTGGCCATGCCCCAAATCACTCCTTTTTTTTTTTCAAATGTTTTTTTATTCTTGAGAGAGAGAGAGAGAGCGAAAGGAGAGAGAAGCAGAGAGTGGGGGAAGGGCAGAGAGAGGGAGAGATACAGAATCTGAAGCAGGCTCCAGGCTCGGAGCTGTCAGCACAGAGCGTGACATGGGGCTCGAACTCATGAACCATGAGATCATGACCTGAGCTGAAGTTGGACCCATAACCAACCAGGTGTCCCACCCCAGGTCATTCTTATACACACTTAACACATGACCTTTCTTAGTCTGAAATTCCTATAGACTGGCACTCTCCAATGGAATTTTCTACAGTGATAGAAATGTTCTACACATGCACTATCCAGCCTCTAGCCACATGTGGTTATTGAGACCTTGAGATGTGACTAGTATTACTGAGGAGCTGAATTTCTAATTAAAGGTAAAAGGTCACATGTGGCTAGAGGCTACCATATTGGAGAGCACAGTTTTAGACTATTAGTCCTTGTGAGCACAAAACTGTATCTTCAATCTCTGTACCCCCTCTGTGCCTGGTGCATGGTACCCTGTGAATAAATACTGAAACAGGAAACACGCCTGCGCTATTTCCATTTTTTGAGGTTCCTGGTATATTAAGAAATGACAAAACACAATTGCAAAATTTGTGGTATATTGTACTTGTTTATTTTACACTTTTTTTTTCTTCTGATGAGGAATTTAAAGATCTCCTCCCTAAGCAATTTTCACATATGCAATACAGTATTATTAACTATAGCCATCATGCTGTATATTCCATCTCCATGCATTGTTTTATAAGAAGTTTCTACCTCCTGACTCCCTACACGCATTTCATCCACTCTCCATCCTCTGCCTCTGGTAACTACCAATCTGTTCTCTATATGGTTGAGCTTGGTTTTGTTGTTGTTACTGTTTTAGATTCCACATTTATGTTAGATCATATGGTATTTGTTTTTCTGTCTGACTTATTTAGCATAATGCCCTCAAGGTCCATCCAAGCTGTTGCAAATGGCAAAGATTTCATTCTTTTTTTATGGCTGGATAATATCTATTGTTCATATATACCACATTATCCATTCATCCATTGGACACTTAGTTTCCATATGTTGGTTATTTTAAATAATACTTCAAATAGCATGGGAGCACATATATGTGTTTATATTAGTGTTTTTGTTTTCTTCAGATAGTGGAATTGCTGGATCATATATGGTAGTTCCATTTTTAATCTTTTGAGGAAACCCCATACTGTTTTCCACAGTGGCTGTACCAACTTACATTCCCACCAACAGTGTACAAGTGTTCCCATTTCTCCACATCCTCGCCAACACTTGTTGTTTCTTACCTTACGCTTTCAAAGCAGACTTATTGTCCTATTCTCAAGATAATTATAAGATCAAAATATTACATCATGGACACATTATCTGATGGCAATGCCTAATTGTTATGGGGGTATTCAATTGCCTTTCTACCTTTAACAAATATGAAAGATGTATTAAGACAATAATGAATTCTGCTTTAAGATTTTCTGTGTACCATAACCAAAACATGGAAAGAGCCTAAGTGTCCATCAACGGATGAATGGATCAAGAAGATGTGGTTTATGTATACAATGGAATACTACATGGCAATGAGAAAGAATGAAATCTGGCCATGTGTAACAACATGGATGGAACTTGAGGGTGTTATGCTGAGTGAAATAACTCAGGTAGAGAAGGACAGCTACCATATGTTTGCACATATGGGAGGATTATGAGGAACTTAACGGAGGACTGTGGGGAAGAAGAAGGGGGAAGTGGGGGCGGAGAGGGAGGGAAGCAAACCATGTGAGACTCTTGAATGTTGAGAACAAATTGAGGACTGATCAGTATGGGGGGATTGGAAGGGGGTGATGGGCATGGAGGAGGGTACTTGTGGGGATGAACACTGGGTGTTACATGGAAACCAACTTGACAATAAATTATTTTAAAAAAATAAAAGATCTTCCGTATACCTTCAGTTAAAGCATATATGTGTATATACATATATCAGTGAATACAAATCAGATCACTTGTATTAGTGATCACTTGTATTAGATCTACCTTGTATTAGGTAGAAAGGAATTTAAGCCAAGAATATGATTTAGATTAGATTACAAAAATTCTGGCTTACTAAAAGAATATACTGAGAGAAGTTCTGAGAAACTATTTAATTAGAGAATCAGGGACTTGAAGTTTCCTACTTATGTCTGCCAATCATTACTTTATTTCCATCAAAAAGAAAAAATCAAAATTAAAAGAATGACATAGTAAAGATATGCAATGACATTAAAACTTCCTTGAAAATAATTCATATTTCTAGCTTTATTTAGCTGAAGTAAAACCTTAGAGACCTTATAAACAAGACATTGTTATCAGCATGGAAGAAACAAAAGTTTCAACTTCTGCTTGAAGGGCAAGTGGCTACCTTTAAGGTAGTCGTCATTAAATGCTTGTCATTCATTTCTTTACATTTTTCCACAATCAATTGAAGTGGCCAGTGCAATTATACATAGCATGTAGTCCGAGCAGTAGAAAACCCAAATTTAAGTAGGTTAGGACCAGGGAACAAATTAGAATGCAGGTAGGCATTGAACCAAAACTTGATTCAGAGCTTCATGTTGGCCAAAGTGAAAAGGAAAACACATCCAATTATATAATCTACTTGTCTGTAAGGAAGACCTATTCAGTTATTTAAGGGTATCCAAGCATTTCATGACACTTGGCTCTGAAAGAAAATTCTCTCATGGGCTTTTCCATGGAAAACATAAAATGACTGCACAACATCCCTACAGTAAAAGTACTAGTGGGCTCTGTGGAGCTCTCTGTTCCAGAATCCCTTAATGTATGGTAAAGACACAATTTTCAAAAGACAAGTCATTAAAAGGCTCCTGGTAGGGGGTGAAGAAGGTTTCTGTGTATACGAGCTCAGGATAATATGATCAGGTATGTATGTAGTTTTCTTATGGACCAGCTAATATTCTGTACTTGACTAAAGGCTGATTCATATTGTTTAGAATTCAGGAATCCAATTAGCAGGTGGTTGACAGCCTTTTGTGAAGAAGTCCCACTGAGATTCTCACCTACATAGAAACATTTCTCTTTACAAGATGGTGTACAGTGACAACCTGGAGGGAATCCAGGATTTTTCTTTAAAAACAACTCCTTAAAAATAAGAAAATTAAGTATTTAAGTCCATAAAGTTTCACTCAATGGAGCAGAGGGTCTGCAAGCCCACATACAAGTCTGTTTTGTTTGTTTTGTCTTGACAAAGTTCGTGTTAGTTACCAATACTTAGAGATCAATAGATTTCAAGTCAAGCAACCCTGGATGCTCGTATCACCACTTGGCAACAGTCTGTTGTGTTGAGTGTAGAGCATTTATTCACCCCTTAGGTATTTGAATGCCCTGTTGGACAATGAAGATTTGGATTGAAAAATCTTCAAAGAAGAAATTATTGGTTGTTCACATTGGCTATGAAAAAATCTGAATAATGCTCCCCTGAAATGTATGGCTTTTAGTGAAGTGATTGGCCAGTAAATCTACCTGCAGGAAATACTTGCAAGATATACTCTTAAATAAGGAAATGAATCTGGTATTAAGTTACTGGATCTAAGGCAATAAAACTTAAGAACATGTACCAAAATAATTATTTAATTTTAGGGCAGGTGATCTTTATCCATTCTTTCAGCCAATGGTAAACCACAAAATCAATTGTACATTAAAGACCAATATAATAAAATGTCAGCATTAAGGAAGATAATTGACTTTCCATCTCTAAAGCAAGGTAGCATATGTCAAAATAATCCAAGAGTGGTTTCAAATTACTTAGCTATAGGTTACAAAACAAGGAGGGCCACAACTTGATTCTTTCAGGCTACTTGAAATACCTTCTGATATATCTGAACACAAATTCTATTGATCTGGACTTTCAAGAGATGCAGAAGTCCTGGTTTCCTAGGAACTAGGATTCTACACTGAACCCATGGAATTTTTTTTTTTAATATTTTTTATTTATTTCTAGGATAGAGAGACAGCGTGAGCAGGGGAGGGTGAGAGAGAGGGAGACACAGACTCTGAAATAGGCTCCAGGCTCTGAGCTGGCAGTCAGCACAGAGCCCGACACGGGGTTCGAATCCACGAACCGCGAGATCATGACCTAAGCGAAAGTCGGACGCTTAACCGACTAAGCCACCCAGACGCCCCTGAACTCATGGAATTTAACCTGAAACACAGAGAAAAGCCCGAGAAATCATTTGATGAAAGCATTCTTTTATTTGCTTTTCCCAATTATAAATGTACACTATCAAAAATTTAGAAAATAAAGAAGAATTTAGATGATTTTCCCCCCAACATTTTATTTTGAAAAATTTCAAGCCAACAGAATACAGACATGCAGGCCAACCCAGTTGCTAATGCTGAGCCACAAATTTACTCAGAGCTTCTTGGCAGTCAAAGCAAAAGGAGACAACAGCCAGTTATATAATTCACATTGCCTATAAGGAGAAAACGTATCAGTTACTCAAGTGTAGCCAAGTGTTTCATGACATCGGGGCCTGAGAAAAAATTCTCTTGTATTCATTTAACATGGACTACAAAGCAATATTACACACAATTAACATTCCTACAGTAACTGCATTGATGAGTTCCTGAAACTATATCGTCTAGAATCCCTCAATGTTAGCAGGGGGTGCTTGGTATAAAGGTAGCAGCCTGGAGGTGAAAAGCATGGACTCTAGACCTTCACTGCCTAGGGCTGAATGCTGGCCCCGTCAGTTATTAATTGTGTGAAAATCAGTAAAAGTATTTCCTGACTTATAGTATTGTGATAGTATTGTGATTAATATCACAAATCTCAAAGAGCTGTTATGAGGCTCAAGTGGGTTAATGCCTATTATGTACCTAAAACGGGCCCTGGCACAGAGTAAGCATCATCATAATTACAGTAAATGCTAAAATAAAGGTGTGCACATGATATAATAATACAGAGGAAGGGTACTTAAACCAAGGGCCTGAGGGAAGGTTTTCTGGAAGGAGGATGCCTGTGCTGGGTCCAAATTTTAGTGTACTACTTAACTGTTGTTAGTATGACCTTGACCAGATTACTTAACCTTTGTAGCTTCATCTGCTGTAACAGAGATATAATGTCAGTTAGTTGGTGACATAATAAGCTGATGTTCGCAAAATTAAATGAGATAACATATGAGAATTAGATAAGCAAATGTAACAGAGCATGGAAGTATAACAACTAGTGGTTTCTTCTTGGATTTGGTAGAAAAGTAAAAAAAAAAAAAATTCCTCTTTGCATCAACTTTCATGTATGTTCATTTTTTCCAGTTAAACAGTGTTAGTTGAGAAGTAGTTGTACATAAATTATCTTTCAAATCACAACAAAACTACCTAGAAGAATGTTAAATGATCAGCATTGGTTTAGCACAGCTCTCATTTTTTTTAATGCCAAGTAGGATTTGAAGTATGCTGTTATAAGCAAACGAGTCTAATATAAAGTTGGGGGGATTATCTAGGAGTTTATGTGAAAATCATAGACTCAGCCTGATCTCTCCTTCGGTACAGGAGGAAACCAAAGCCTGGAAGTTAAGTGATTTGCCCAAGGAAATCTAGCTAGTTAATTGCCAGAACCAAGACTAGAGTCTCAAACTCCCATCAGTCCAAAGGCCAATACACTATATTGACCTGCCTTTCAGACCCCAGTCATTTGATGTCTATATCCACTACCTTACTAAAGCCATTATTATTGGTCACCAATCATTTTTGTGTTGCTAAATCCAGTCAGTGCTTTTCAGCCGTTGATATACTTAAGCTGTTTGTAATCTCTGACTCTGATGACCCCGCCTCCATCTTGCAATTTTTTCCAACCTTGGCTTTTGAGACATTATGCTCATTTAGCTCTTTTATCTCTCTGGCCATTGTTCCTCAGACTTCTTTGTGGGTTTCTGTTCATCTGCCACTCCCCTTTAAAGTCAGTGCTTCCTGGGACTGTACTCCTTGGTCCTTTTTATTGTTTCTTCTAGATTTTCTCTGATTCATCTCATCCATGCCTAGGACTTAAATTACCAATTACAAGTCAATGTCCTCTAACTCAACTTTTTTGACTATTTTGACTCAACTTCTCTCCTCATTCATAGATCTGTGTAATTCAGCTGCTTATTGAATGTTTTCCTCTGGATACGGAGGTTCCTTGCATCCAGTCACAGTCACAATGCAAGAGTCTTTGAGGGAACTCGAGAAACTTGCACCCTTCTTTTTCAGATAAAGGAGAATGTGGCAGAAGACCTACTACCTATCATCTTTATTACTGACTGTCTTAGTTTCCTACTGCTGTTGTAACAAATACCACAAACTTAGTAAAGAACACAAATTTATTACCTTAGAGTTCTGGAAATCAGAACTGCTCTAAAATCAAGGTATTGGCAGAGCTGCGTTCTTTCTGGCGGCTTTATGGAAGAATCCATTTCCTCGCCTTTCCCATCTTCCAGACCTGTCTGCCTTCCTTGGCTCCATCTTCAATACCAGCAGTGCAGATTCTTCAAATCTCTCTTTGTCTCTGACCTTTGTTTCCATCATCATAGCTCTATCCCTGATTTTGACCTTCCTGCCTCCAAGCCCAGCTAGATCATCTAAAATAATCTCTCCATCTCAAGATTCTTAACTTAATCACTATCTGCAAAGTCCCTTTTGCCATGTAAGGGAGGGAACATAGTCACAGATTCTGGGGATTAGGGCATGAACATCCTTGGGGAGGGGGGACATTACTCTGTATAATACAACTGGCAAAGCTGGTATCTGATACTGCTGTGGACAGTGAGCTTCACAATGCCAACCTCTGAAATTAAATAGGTTTACTAACTTTGTAACCCTGAACCAGGCATCTCAAACTCACCCCAGGTCCTGGTCTTTCAGAACAGGAGAACACTAGAGCATTGCACCCTGCCCATGCAAGGCTTGAACCTACAAACTGTGAGGTCATGACCTGAGCTGAAACCAACAGTCAGATGCTTAACCACTTAACCACTTAATCTACTGAGCCACTCAGGCGCCCCAGGTTTCTCCTTTTACATTCATCAATCAGGAAGTTACTGCTTGAGGGAGGAGGGAGCTGGAGAATGCGCAGTGAGAGGCCAGGAGTGTTATCTTAATGGATTCACTTCACCTGGAAAGAGACCTTATGAGTGGAGACGGTTTCCCCCACAAATATATCTATATTTGAACTCATCATCGTCTCATCCCACAAATCTGATCAACCTTCAAGACTGTCAACACCACTATCTATTAACTTAGTACAGAGACTTGTGGATAACCCAGACTCATCTTCTCATCTTGTGAAACGGTTCCACCCGTTCCACCATCTACTCCGGCATCCACACTAGAAACTTGGCCTACTCACGTATCCCCCGCTCAGTACTGTCAATTCTACCACCTTAATAGCACTCACGTCCATTCCTTTCCCTAGATTCCCACTGCCAATACCGTTAAGACTCTTATCGCTTAACTGGAATACAGCAATGGTCTCAATACTGGTTTTCCGCCTCAAGACTTAACCTTTCCCGTTTTCACTTCCATACCTTTGCTCATAAAACATCCTTTACCTGAAATTATGTTTTTTTGGTTAGTCTCCAAACCCTGGTACCCCATTTTGCCCAAGCGTCAAGCAAAACTGACTATCCAACATCAGCCAGGATCAGACTTGAAATTCGTGTCTGACTCCGAAGTCCAGGCCGTCATCTGCTCTTGCTCGACTGCCTTCTAACAAAAATATTTTAAAGTCTAGTGGACTTTATACTTTACAAAGAACCTCCGCATACAATATTTTGTCCTAGCCTCACAATTCCTCAATGTAGGCAAGATGGGTACTGTTACCTCATTTGTAAAATGAGGAAACGGGAATTCAAGTCTCGATTCACCACTCCCTGTTGCTGGGTTAACAAGTGTCACTCAGCAGTCTTCCGCGTTAACAGCGACCTCGGCCCCTTTTGGTTCCACTCCTTGTATAACCTTCCTGCACTTCGCAGAAGTGGCGGTTGGGATCCGCGCCAGTCTGGACGAGGCAGCTGCTCTGGAACCTCGCGACGGGGACCTTCCCATCTGCAGTGACGCGATCGGTGACGCCATACAGTGACGTACGGTGACGTGCTTACCCGGAGCCAGGTGCCTACAGGGCAGCCACACCCTGGGGCCCCCGGCTCAGGAAGGCGACGGGTTGGGCGGGTGGGAAAACGGCGCAAAACCCGCCTAAGTAGATCTTGGGGCCCTAAACCCTCGGATCACGCCCGCCCGCCCACCAGCCGCCAACTGGTTGCTAAGTGACGCCAGCGCGCAGAGGCGCGTGCGCGGCCACGGCGGTGTGCGTGAAGGCGGAGGCGCGCCGCGGCGGCGGCGGCGGCGGCGGCGGCGGCGAGGACGGCGGCGACGGCAGCGGCCGAGGGGGCGGTGGCTACGAGACGGGTGCGGAGCAGGCGGAAGAGGCGTCCGTGTGGGCGGCTAGGTCGCAGAGGAACATCGTTGGGGTGAGTAGCTGGGACCTCGCAGTGGAGGTGGGGCCTGGTCGCACCTGCTGCGCGGGCCCGGGGCGCGGAGACGCGCTCCCCCACTGCACCCGCGCGCGCCGCTCCACGCCCCTCTGTCGTTTTTTCCGGGGGCGGGGAAGGAGCGGAGACGGGGGCTGGCGAGGGTCAGTTCCTGGGCGCGGGCGCTCCGGGGAGCGGCAGCGAGGTGCCGGTGGAGACTGTGGTCCCTGAAGGTGTAGTGGGAAGTCGGTGTCTGGGGGCGTTGGGGTGGCTTTGCCAGGCTCCCGGATAGGGGAGTCGGAATCAGGAGAAGCCCAGGTTCCAAGCGCAGCCTCGCAGCCTGCCTGAGACGAGGTTGACCGCGACGAAGAGGAGGGAAACCGGGGTCGTAGGGCTGGGATTCGGAAAGTTTGGCCCTGTTAGGGCCTTTCTCGCCCCTGCCCTGGCTGGGCTCCGAGGAGGAGCCGGTTGTTATGGAGAGAGTTGTGAATCAGTGCCTGCGTGCGGCGTCAGACACACCCACGACCTGGGGAAGGCGATTGTCAGTACTGAGAGGGGGCGGTTAACCTGTTGCCTGGGGTTTCCAACTTCTTACGTATGTGCACGTGCCTCGTGCACGCATACAACTTTGCATACAACTGGGCGTTCTATTGCATTGTTGCTACGGGTTTTAAGGCCAGGGGGCAGATATCCGTCCTAAATTCTCACTTCACTGTCGACTCAAATCAGCTGTTTTGTTTCTCAGAACCCTGTTGTGCTTCTGTCATTACTAGGGCCAAAAGAGTATGGAGGCACTGTTTTTTGTTTTCCTTATAAGTAGTGCAGATTTGCTATTTTCTAGGCAGAAAACACAGATTCTGTTCCCCGTGTGGGCTGGAAAATGTTGATGGTCAGAGAAGCCTGAGCGCGAAGGTGTAGCAAATCATCAGCCCAGTGCTCTCAATAGGCTGGCTCCCTTCGTGGGTCCATGTGTGGTGGTTATAGTTGCCTTTCTTGGGAGAAAGAGTATTGGAGATAGGGAAGAAGTTGGTATTTTCTGACTTTGATTAATGTGATGCCTAGAACAGAGGTAGACTATACTGAAATTTAATCAGGATCTGTGCAAAAAAATTGAAGAAAAATAACTTGAAAGCTTTCATTCAGCTCTAGAATTTTTGGTTCAGTTTGATAACCAAGGATCTGTAAAGTATGCATGCTGCCTGAGGTGCTTACGTCTTGGAACCAATAATCTTGCTATGTAGCACTTAGTGTACTGGAAAATCTGTCTCTTGCTCACTGGACTGTATTAGCTTTTAGGACAGGTACCATTCCTTTTTTATTCATGGCCCTATCTTTCAGCACCTACAAAAGTTTTGACACAGAGTAGGCATACAATAGGTATTTGTTATGTATTATACTGTGTATGAGTGTTTATCAATGAATTTAGGTTAGTCTATCAAGGTTAATACATGTACCCCCCCACCCCAAATCATGTTACATGTGGGAGGAGGGTTGTGGGTACGAATGACATGGGAAACCTGGCTTATTTTGATTAAGAGCAGATAGACTGGGGGCACCTGGATGGTTCTGTCAGTTCAACGTCAGACTCTTGATTTCTGCTCAGGTCAAGATCTCACTGTCATGAGATCAAGCCCTGAATAGGGCTCCACGCTAAGCGTGGAGCTTGCTTAAGATTCTCTTTCTCTCCCTCTGCCCTTCTCCCTTGCTCATGCTTTCTCTTTCTCTCTAAAATAAAAATAAAAATAAAGTAAGTTTTAAAAAAGTGCAGATAGTCTGGGCACAATCGGTTAAGTGTGTTTCTTGATCTCAGGTCTTGATCTTAGGGTTGCGAATCAAACACCACATTGGGCTCCTTACTGGGAGCAAAACCTACTTTAAAGAAAAAAGAGCAAATAGTTTGCCATGTGTATGCCAAAGGTATGAGCATATGTATGTCAAATCATTTTGAAACCAAATGAGGCATTGTGTAAACAAGTGCTATGTGAGGTGCTATACTTTAAGAGCAGTAGAAATTTAGAAAAGGTAGGACCGAGTTAATGAATGCTTTGGAAGAGGTAAGGGTTGATTGGGACTTTAAAGAGCTATAAAATTTGAATTAGAGAGGAGGTGAGAAATCATGTTGAGAAAATTGTGTGAATGTGCTTTATGAGGAAGATATTAAGGAGACCTACATGTCTGGTGAGTGGATTTGAAGGTCTCTGAGGGAGATCTTGGAGAGAGAAGGTTTAGCAGGTGGGAAGGGAAAGTGTTAAGACTAAAAGCACCCACTGATAACAGGATAGGGCCTGCTTGCTGGGAGGGGTGGAAGTTGTGTTAGAATTAGAATAGTCTTAGACAAGAATAAGTGTTATCCTTAAAATTAAGGTATATTATGGTTGAACTAGGATTGGGTTTTGTATACTTCTGATTTCAAATACTAATTTGAATAAATGGCTCACTAATGTGAGTGAATCTTATGTACTTAGCAGCACTTGTCCCCGTTTCTAAAATCTACCTGATGTGCTTGGGCCTTTCCACTGGCAATCTGAAATGATGTACCCAAAGCAATTATCCAGCTATTCTCAGTGACACAGTTTTGCTTGGGATTATCTCTTAGAGTGCTCTGTGAGGTTTGTAGTTACCTCTGATTCTGTAAAATATACAAGTAACATTTGCTGGGAAAGGAGTCTGTTTGAAGAAGGATGCTTAAAAAGTATTGACAAAAAGATTTGAGAAAATTAAAGATGTTGCTGCTGAGTATTGAACCTTTGGTCTTTATAATATCTTTTGTTGTTACATGAAATTCTTCAGGCTCATTAAACCTGAAGCTGAATTGCTAACCTACCATGTGTAAAGTTGCAACACCAAATGTTGCATTATTTAACAGCTCAGCAAATATTTATTGGGTGCTGGCTATGGCTAGATACTGTGGTGGGTGCTGGGAAGATAAAGAACATGACCATGGTAAACCCTGTGAGATACTACATGTTCATCAGATGAGACAAACCCCTAAACGTGGTATGTTATGATAAGAGTTAATCACCTTGGAATAAGTAAAATGCTGAGGGCATTGATCACTTTGGCTGGAGAAAAATGTTGACAGAATCTGGGAAAGCTTTAAAGAGATGAGGATAGAACTTAGCCCTGAAGGTTAAGTAGAATTTAGCCACATTTAAAAGGGAAAACATACATTCCAGGAAGAAGGGAGAGTGTAAGCACGGTTGCTAGAGATTAATATTAATAGGGTTTTTGGAAAACTTTGAGTTTCTTTTTTAAAAAATTTTAATAGTTTATTTTTGAGAGAGAGAGGGAGAGAGAGAGAGAAAGAGCGCATGTGCAAGTGGGGGAAGAGCAGAGAGAGAGAGACAGACAGACAGATAGATGGACAAAATCCAAAGCAGGCTCCAGGCTCTGAGCTGTCAGCACAGAGCCCCATGAAGGGCTCAAACCCATGAACTGCGAGATCATGACCTGAGCCGAAGTCGGACGTTTAACCGACTGAGTCACCCAGGCACCCCTAATGAGTTGTTTCTTGATGAGATAGGAAAGGTATGGTTGCAGCCAAATCATGAAGGGCTTTCATTCCATTCTAAAAAGCCTAGACTTTCCCTCCCACTCCACCCTCTGTGTTGCCAGTGGAGGGCCTTGTGGACTCATCAGGAAGTTAACTGGCAGTTCCTGCGCAGAACTGCATTGGTGTGGAGAGGCAGGGAGACCCGTTAGGGTATAGGTGAGAGATGCTGGGAGCCTGAAGAGGGACAGCAGGAATGGATGGATGGTAGAGAATTTTCATTGTTAAAATCTCTAAATGTTATGACCAGTTAGAGGTGAGAGAGTGAGAAGTCAAAGATGTCTCTAGCTTTAGTAACTGGTGATTATGATACATTAAATTAGAAAATACAGAGAAGGAACAGAATTGCAGTGGAGAGAAGAAATGATGGCATGTACCTGTGTAGAGTTTGGAGAGGTCCACTGGGTGATTGGAAATTCTACTCCAGAGTTGATGAGACAGTTTAGGAATAATCGTAACAGTCTCTAGGGCCAAGGAAGTAGTACTATTTTAGGAATTAGTTAACACTGTGGGCTTTAGAATTAGGAAAACCTGCCGTCTGGTCTATTTCACTTACTGGTTGGGTCAGGTGACCTTGGGCAAGTTATTTAACATCTCTAAGCCTTAATTTCTTCTGAAAAGTGGGGTTAATAATACTTAAAAGAATTGTTGTGGAGATTAAATAAGATAGAATGGGCACAATGATTAGCACATTACCTAGCTTATAAAAGCTTAATAACTATAGCTGTTGCTATTAATAGTGGTAGGATTAGCGACAATTATAGAGGTAGTACAAGAAAATATAACCATCCAGAATAGTGGAGACGGAGAACGGGAAAGGATAGAATGGAACTTGTGGATGTCAACACTCAGATTAAATTTAGATTGGTTCTCAAATTTGAGCATGCATCAAAAATACCTGAGGGCCAAGGATCTCTTTTGCACTGCTGGTGGGAATGCAAACTGGTGCAGCCAGTCTGGAAAACAGTATGGAGGTTCTAAAAAAGTTAAAAATAGAACTACCCTATGACCTAGCAATTGCTCTACTAGGTATTTATCCAAGGGATACAGGTGTGCTGTTTTGAAAGGGCACATGCACCCCAATGTTTATAACAATACTGTCGACAAAAGCCAGATTATAGTAAGAGCCTAAATGTCCATTGATGGATGAACGGATAAAGCAGATGTATATAGATATAATGGAATATTACTCGGCAATCAAAAAGAATGAAATCTTGCCATTTGCAACTATGTGGATGGAACTAGAGGGTATTATGCTAAATGAAATTAATCAGAGAAAGACAAATATATGAATTCACTTGTGAGAAATTTAAGATACAAAGCAGAAGAACATAAGGGAAGGGAAGCAAAAATAAGTGAGAACAGGGTGGGGGACAAAACATAAGACTCTTAAATATACAGAATAAACAGAGGGTTGCTGGAGGGATTATGCGAGGGCGTATGGGCTAAA